GTCTGATGGAGCCTGGTGGAACCCCTGAGACTATGGCCCTAGCTGCCCTTCAGGTCTGGAATCGAACCCACTCCTGTGGCTTCCAACCAAACAAAAGACAGGCATATGAGCTGAACATTTATATTAGGTAGATACACTCCTTGGAGAGGTCAATCCTGGGAGAATAGAAGGGCTGTGTATCAGCAGGGAAACAGCTGGGGGCAGGAGTACATGGGAGGGAAGGATACAGGGAAGAGGTAACTATGGAGAGAAAGTGGGAAGAGAGCTGTTGCATTGTGGAAAACTGTAGTCAATGTCATGAGATAGAGTGTATGTGAACTGCTGTATGGAAAATGAATTTGCTCTGTAAACTTTCACCCAAATCACAACAAAAATTTTAAAAAATATACCAATTTTTAAATTTTATATGGATCCACAACACAAGATAATGATGCATTGCATTGGGCAAATCTGCTGCAAAAGACCTCTTTAAAGTGTTAGAAAGCAAAGATGTCACTGAGGGGTAAGATGCACTTGACCCAAGCCTTGTTATTCTCAGTCACTTGATATGCATGTGAAAGCTGGACAATGAATTTAAGAACTGATTCATCTCAATTATGGTGTTGGCAAAGAATATTAAATACACTATAGATTACTAAAAGAAGGAACAAATCTGTCTTGGAAGAAGTACAGCCAAACTGCTCCTTAGAAGCAAGGATGGCAAGATTTTATCTCACATTGGACATATCAGGAGGGTCCAATTCCTGGAAAAGGACATCATGCTTGGTATAGTAGAAAGTCAGCCAAAAAGAGGAAGACTCTCAATGAGATGGATTGACACAGTGGTCCCAACAGTGGTCTAAAATACAGCAACTATTATGCATATCGTGTGGGACCCACAGTCAGATTCTGTTGTACATGTCACTGTGAGTCGGGGCTCACTCCACAGCACCCAACAGCAAACAACAACATAATAAAGTGCATCTTGGAGGGTTTAATGAAGACTGGTAGGTAACGTTTCCTGAATTTTAATTTTTGAAGGGGAAAAAAAAATCAGGTTTTGGTTCTTATGTTAGGGTATTATCAGAACTAGCCATCACTCCATTTAATTCTCCTAACGATTATGCGAGATAGGCACCACTGCCTTCTTTTCACAGAGGCTCGAAAACAAGAAGCAACTTATGCAGTGTCCCGCAGTGAAGGGCCCAGCCAGAAGAGCCTACCTATCCCACCTCGCAACGCCACAGTTCTAAGGCGGGGCCAGTGCGGAAATGTATGCTTGGATTCTCTGAGCCCTCTCACCAAATACACCAGCAGTTTCCGGAAGCTTGCCCGAGACTCTCAGTACGCTTGCGCCGCCCCGCCCCGTGACGTCACGACGCCGCCCCGCCCCTTTCTGGAACGCGAAGCCGCTGAGCGGGCCGGCGGCCATTTTGTGAAGCGGCGAAGGAGGTGGTGACTGCGGTGGGCTCCGGGAAGCCGTTCGGGCTGGGGCTGTCGGCCGCGGGGCGGAGGCACTCGCGCGGGGGGTAACTCGGGTCTGGGTTCGGGTACCGCGCAGCTCTCCCCGGTAAGACTCCCGCAGCCCAGGAACGGGCGGGGCAGTGCGGGGCTCGAGCCGCCCCTTGGCTCGGGGCGGGGCTTTCGGAGGCCTGCTAGCCCGCCTCAGCGAGCGCCCCACACAAAGGGTTGGGGCAGGGCTGCAGGGTATTTGGGACGCTGCTTAAACCTGTAAGGTCTGAAGGATGCAAGGAGCAAGCAAGAGTTAGGATGAACCTGCGTACTAAAGTGGAAACGAAGCCATGGAAAAGATGCCCCTTTGGTTTGAGGAGGTGGAGGCCAGAGCTGGGAGGCCCAGCAGCCTGCAAACTAACGGAGACTACATTGAAAACACACCTATATCCTGAAACAGGGTCGATCTTCAGAGCCTCTAACGAGGAAGAGATGATAAATCTCTGTTTCCTGAGGCAAAGAGATAATCGTAGTGAGGGCCTTCCTTACACTCGAAGTGGAAAGGCGGCCCTTGTGGCCTACCAGGAAAAAGGGACAAAAGTTGGCACAGCTGGGGGTGGGTAGCCGAAGTCGACACACCCCTGTGAATCCAGGATGAAGTCGGAACTGGCCGCCTCTGGCCTGAAAGTGGGAGGGATTACAGTGAAATGGCTCCTAAGATCCCACTTTGGTCTAGTCAATTTGAGAAACCGGCCACTAGTCTCCAATGGTCTGAGAATTGCTATGAAGATGCCTCCCAAGTAGTATGGGTAGCTATGAATCGGCATCGACTCGATGGCAGGGGGTTTGGTTTTTGGTTTAAGTCTAGGAAGGGCCTGCTATGAGCTGCACCATTACAGTTTCTTTGGGAGGGTGCCTCCGGCAATGAGGAAGAAGGCAGCCCAATGGGATATGGAGAGTGGGTGCTTTTGATGGAGGGTCAATTGAGTTTTTCTGATGAAGGCTAGCAGTGCTCATTTGCAGCCACGTGAAAGAGTGGCAGGATCTTAGTATCTACAGGTTATGAAAAATCAGGGGCCATAGGGTTTTTGAGGATTGTTCAGCGCTAAACCTCAGCTGGGAGGTGTATACTGAGAACTTGAGCTCTGTAGGAGAACTTTCTAAGTCCTAAAGCTCCACTTGACTGTTGGATTCCCAGAGATGACCTAATGTAAATTTTGAGCATTTAACAGGAACCATTTTATGTTATTTAAGAGTAAGGTGATGCTTGTCAGTGAAACCACCTGAAAAATGTGATCGCAACTAAATGTTGAAGATAGTGGCTTGTGATTGGAGTTAATCCTATTATAGCTTATTGCTCCATTGGTTTCAAATAGTGTAAGTTTTGTAAAATGCAGTATTAGCCACAGAATTGCTTGGGACCTTGTCATCTAGTTTATATTGTTAATTCATTTCAGAGTGTTCACGGTTGACGAAAATAGCACAAGTTTGGATATTTAGGGAGATCCTGTTTTTTGATGATAAAAATATACAGAACTATTTGATTTTGAAATTTGGTACTTTTGATAGAATGGAGGACTTTTGGATCTAGTGGAAAGTAGTATGTCTAGGCATTTTCCAAGAATATTAAGGAGTTGGAAAAAACTTACAGGTGGTTCAAATAATTTTGATGGTAATTTCTGAAGAAAATGAAATGTGTTTTTATGAAAGTTAATGAGGATGTACTTTGTATTATTGGACAGTTTTTGTTGTTTTAAATGAAATAGGGAATGCATTTTATCATGACCTATATGCTCCATTACATTTTGATTACTTTGTTTATGGATTGTAATGTATAATTTCTATTTATCTTACGTTCACATTTGTTAGGTGAAAAATCTGAAGCTTTAGAAACCATGCTGGTAGTTACTTGGAACATTTTGTTATGTGATAATACCAGTGTATACTTAGGTTTCTTTCACTTTCTTTGACCTGCCAAATGTTTTGATGACTGCATATTGAGAGTTGGGGATTGTTGGTACAATTTTTAGAAGTGAAACTGAGTTTTGTGGACCAGTGTGTTCAAGGTGCTGGAACACAGTGACAATGTTACTCTGTTTGTATTACATTTTGTAGAGATCTGCTCCATCATTCAGTTTAGATGAATGTTTTCCTTTGTAGGTATTTTGGAATGACCTCTAAGTGTCAATAATTGGCTAACAAAAGATGCTCTTAGATATCGCTCCCTAAAACGTGGGAACTGTTGATCATTTTTCTACCTTCTGCCTGGCTCAAAAGTACTTAATAAGTGTTCATGGGATAAATGAATATTGTTAAATGTTTTAGGGCAACTCAGCAGAAAAATAAGTTCACCCTTTATAGGTTGATCAAATTTTACTACTACCCAACTACCTTTTGATTTGCATAGGGTTTAGTAAATTAAATTTAAAGATTAGATCTTAAAAGCAGTAGTGAGAGTGAACATGGTTGGTTAGGTTATAAGTAATATTGTTGCTTTGAAGAGTAAATGAAGGCAGAATGAAACTTTCTGTTGGCATTTTGGGGGAATGAAAAATATTAAAATCAGGCAGAATAAATGTCTTTTTATTTGCTGCCTTTGAGTGCTGACTGTTAATGGGACAGTTGAGTAATAGATCATAAAAAGGATAGATCTCTTTAGGATCAGAAGCAATGTTTTATTAAGATGATCCCAGAATCTGAAATGTGATTCATGTGGGGGAAGAAGGGGCAAAATCAAGTGAATGAAGTTACGGTTGTTTTGTAATACCTACCATAATGTGATTATGCTGCTTTAGCAGTGTGCCAGTTGTGGTTGTCAGTTGCTCATTTCTCTCTAAGGTGAACATTTGAGTGGTTATTTTTGTTTCTTTTGGATCTACAGAACCTAGTTCTGCTGTATCTTGGTTCTTGTTGCTTAAAGACTGTTAGCTGAACAAAGTTAAAATTCACTTTTGGATGTATATTACCAAATGAAAAGTAGACATAGTCAAGTTCTAGTTTGTGCCTTGATTTCCTTCCTGATAAAGAGGATTGTTGTCAGACATTTTATTCTGAAATTACTAGTGATTGGAATGACTAGTAAAAAAGAAAGTCCGTCTTGTTATAATAATATGCTACATTATTTAATTTTATAGCAGGTATTTATAAATATCTGTGTATGTATCTGGTGTTTGTAAAGCTGAAGCAAGGACATTATGTAGGGCTAATTCCTAGCATAAAGTGGAAAGTATACCAAGGCAGCCTTCTTGTTTTAGATCTTTTGAGTTGAATTTAATGCAAATCAGGCATCTCTTCTCCTTCCCTTCCCTTATGCTGTATGTATAGGTAAAACATGTATATATCTGTTTTGTTACCTAGAATTATTCCAGTGTTAATCTTTTAAAAATTTACCAGTTTAAAGTGAGTTGATTGAGTGGATTTTTCATTTTGGGATCTTGCATTCAATCTATAGCTGGCGTTCAGAACACAGGATTGAGCTGGTTCCTAGAAAACAGTGATACCTCTCTTAAATTACTGTGCTCTTTACAAAATGAAGTCTTGAAAACCAAAGAATAAAAATTAAAAATCATAAAAGTACTTCAATGTTCAGTTTCCATTTCAAGGAATAGGTTTGATACCAAGGTTTGTGAAATTCTGTCTTCTAGCTTTAACTTTCTGTATGATTTTCCTTGGTATGGAGTGAGATAAGGTTTCCTCTTTGCAGAAATAGATAAGAATCACATATTTATTTATATGTACGTTGACGTTGGGTGGGGTTTTTTTTTTTTTTGACATATTTTTAATTGAACACATAATACTTACAGTTGTCATTTGCCAGATAAAATTGAACATTTTAACCTTTCCTTGTTTAATGAAGTTTCTTCTTGTTAAAGTAATTTCTAGTAACCTGTTACAGAGATTTTTGAGAGAGTGTTCCTTTTGGGTTTAACTGACTGATCCAGAATTTGTTCTTCTCCAGGACAGATGGTGCTTTCTTGGGTCTGGTAGAGAAGAGGCTGAGGAGCCTGTTTCCCTTATCTTCCAGGGCACATGTCCTGGCCCATGCCAGACCTTTTAAATTGGAATTTCCACTGGAGGATCAGATGTTTATCACATGTGCTTAAATGAAAAATTATGCTGGTTCTGTGGGTCATTGAGCCAAACCTCAAATTTAGAAATGATTGCTGCAGTAATTCTGTTTCACATTGAGCATAGACTTTACTGGAAGCAAGCTTTTCTTTTTCAAATTTCATTTTGTGATCCATTGGATAAACTACTAGATGTGGCTTTTAAATGTAGAGTTTTTAAACTCTTCAGATCTAGTTAGTAAGGATAGATTTGTACAATTTGTAAAAGATTAATACAACGCCCTAGGCATTTAAAAATGTCGGGTTTTTTTTGTTTGTTTTTGTGGCAACACAGTCTCACTGTTTTTTAGTAATTTGAGTAGTTGATTAGATTTTTGGCTTGTCCTTTAGAAAGATTTGGACTAACTATCACTTAGAATTTCAGAAATATGTTACTTCTGGGTGGTGAACGTTAAGCTAGCTGGTGGTCTTTTGATTTTGAAAGATATTAATTCAAAATCAGCATCATTCTGATAAGTAAGTAGTCTTCTGTTGATAATTCTGTAACAGCCTTTTTTTTTCCCCCCCTACTCTGTTTCTCTGAAGTAAAAAACCTTTTGAATAGAGTTGTCTTAGCATGTGGTCATATATATTGCTTTTGTTTCGTTCATAATACCATTAGTTTGGAAGAAATTCCAACGAAAGATGAGTGACTTACCATAACTTTGGAAAACGTTTTAAATATGCCAGACTCTAGAAGTTTGTTGTTCTTTTAAAATAAAACAAGTTTCTTGTTAGCGGAAAAAGTGTTTTTCCTTAGTACTTTGATATCCAGTGGTTTTAGGTAGGAATTAGTCCTGATAGCCAGAACTTTTCACATCGTGTATGTTTTGTGATGTTTGATGCTATTTTGGTGCAGAGGAAAGCATATTGAAAGTAATTGCAGTAATTTCCATGAGTATCCTTAAATTGATGATTTAATTTGTCCAAGAACTGTTACTGTGTGAACTTACACTTTTTCATCAAAAATTTGGTTGGAACCTGGGGAAATAGACAGCAGTTGGACTTGTGTGATGGAGTTTTCTGGACTTCTTTGTGACAGTTTTTATTAGACCCAGCTAGTTTAATCATCTAGTGATAAAAACAATTACCAGTTGTGAAGCTGAGCTTTTATGACTGCTTTCAATTCATTCTTGGACTGATTTTGACACATTCTTGATCTATGTAAATATATTATGTTTTGAGAGATACTCAGATTTGAAATCAATACCAAGTAATAATCATGCGTGGGATTTTGGATCACATTGTCGCTCCCCCCCTTGGTATGCATTCTAATGAAGTACTCTGGTGGTTTCAGACTCGCCTTCTTAATGTACAGTTCAGTGTGGCCTGTGCTTGTTGTTTTGTGTTTCCTGCATTGATTTTTGCCTCCGTTTATTCTCTATTGCAGTCTAAAAGTTGGTTTTAATTGGTTGCCCACAGGATTGACTTGGCCTCTACTTCTTGTTAAGAAAATACATCTCTTGTTTTATCAGGTAAGAGATTTTGAATAGAGGTTTGTTTTTATACAAAATAAAATGATATGGCTTAAATAATATAAAAATATGTATAGTAACTAAATTGTATGTGTGTGTGTGTTTAAGCTTATCTGAGGGATGGAGTTGGGGGTTGGGTGAACTTGGGTGCTTTAAACAGTTGTTGCTTCTCAGGGGTCAGTTTAGGATGCATTTTTCCCGCTGCATTCCTGACTGTTAGGCAGTAAGTAGCTGTTTTTTCCTCAGTAGTATTTTAGACTAATTATAAATACAGGTGCTTGTTATTGCTGTGGTTATTATGCATATTCCCTAGAGGTATGGTATAGATATCGGGCTATATGTTTCAGAGAACAAATTTTGGACTTCAGAAGGAACCTTAGAGATTGTAATCTGACTCTCTTGTTTAGTTAACTAAGTTAGGTTTAAGATGAGTTAAAATGACTTCTCTGAGGTTAGATGGGTACTTAGCAGAATAGCAGATGTTATTTTATATCTTTCAAAACATGTAAACTAAGTGTTCTGCAGGTGGCTTTATGAATAAAATCTTTTGCTCTACTTTGGTTTTAATCTTCAAGCCTTTTCTAGCTGGCAATTGAGGCAGATTTTCAGTAACATGCTTTGTGTGTATCTTGTGTAGACTTTAAATCTTGTGTAGACTTTAAATCCCTTCTTTCATCAGCATATGGTGTAAAGATTTACTGTGTAGTCATTTTAGCCCTGTGTTCTTGGAACTGTATCAGGTCCTCATCTTAACTGTCTCAATACAAGCTAGCATCTCTCTCTCAAGTTGTTTAGGGAACCTGTGATATTTCCCCCTTATAAACTGGTTTTGTATTTTGTGAAGGTGAATAGGATTGCTGAGTTTTGCACATAGCCATGCATTCTAGAGTCAGTAAGGAATGCAGATTTTATTTGTAACTTGGAATCTTCCAGATGAACTTCTTATAGGCTGCTAAATAGTAAATAAGGAGAAAAGTAGTCCATGTTGGTGTGATTGGGGGGGGGGGGTTAGTTTTTATTGTTGACTCTTGCAAATCAAGAAAAGCTTCTTCCCCCTGCACTTTCCAAATTTCTAGTGTTCTGTAATTTGAACCCTGCGTAGTTCAAATGGGTCATGCCCTCAATTGCTAACTGAAAATGTGGGAGATTTGTGTCCGTTCAGAGGTACCTGAGAAGAAAGGCTTGGCAATCTACTTCTGAGAAATTGGTGTCTGAGCTTAGCTCTACTTTATGACATACATGAGGTCACTGTGAGTCAGAGTCTACTCGGCAGCAGCTTGGTAATAATAGCTTCAAAAGGGGACTGTTCTTTGTTTGCCAGTCCAACTTTCTGGAATAAATGAAGGTGGTTTTTATTTTTGTGTATGTATGTGTGATAAAATTGTCAAAGTCAAACAATATATTTCTCTTTTGTGTACAGCAGTCATAATAAGATATATTTACAGACTTTGTTGTATTCAGGTAGTGACATTGAAAATCTGCTTTCATGGAGTTACAGGAGTCTTGGAGCTTGTAGGAGACATTGCCCCTTCTAAAGCTGTTTTTTGAAAAGTGATAAAACCACAGCTCAAATAATGTATAACTTCCCTGAGATCACAGAGCCAGTTAATAGGGAAGGGGGGGAAAAAATATATATATATATATATATATATATATATATAGTGATTTGGGTGAAAGTTTACAGAGCAAATTCACTTTCCATACATATAGGCATATTTTTAAAAGTTGATTTTTAAAATGGCTTGGAAAATGATTTATGTTGTTGATTATGTTAATTTCAAGTAATTTTTTTTTTTCTAGTTTCAAGAATTTGGTTTGCGTCACTTTAGGAAGGGTTGCCCTTGAATTTGTCCTTAGAGGCCATTAGAACTGAAAATCTGAAATATGATTTAAGTTTAGGGGAAGATTTTCTTTTTGATTAGATAAAAATGGACATGATCTAAGGAGATCAGTGACATATTCTGCCTCCTCTAAAACAAAAACACAGGAACTTTCTCATTTTAATTCCCCACAGGAAAAACAAGACTTTTTTCCCCTCCTGTTTTTCTTTCTCTGTCTCTGTCTCTCTCTCTCTCTCTCTCTCTCTTTTTTTTTAAAGGGCTTAGATTTGAATGAGTCATTGGACCTGAGTTTTAATTAAAACAGTTACAGTAAACTGTACTGTAACCAAGTTCCACTTTTTGAGATGATGAATATATCTGTGTAACTCAGATTTTGCCTATTTACTATTCCTTTTGGAGTCGTAGTATGTATTAACCTTGTTACTAATAGTAATTCCACATGTTTTATTTAATAAGTAAACTATAAGGCTGATGGAAGAGTTTTAGGATGAAATGTGGAATCGGTTCTCATTTGAGGATTGAGTCACCTTTAGTGCTAAGTACTATTTGCAATTTGTTAGTATTCTAGCTTTCTGTTTTTGTTGGATTTTAATAGTGAAGCATATAAAATGATACTGATAATTCTGTGAAATTTATTGGGAAAATTCTAAGCTAATTTTTTTTTTTCTTTTTGGTGACTATATATAGCAAAATCCACTCTTATCCCACAGTTTCTATACATAAAAATCAGTGACATTGGTTAAACTCTTTATATTGTGTTAACATTCTCATTATTTCTGTTCTAGGTGTTTTCACTTGCTAAGCTAATTTTAAATAGTAATTTCATGCATCCCTTGCATGTTTTTCCCTTAGAGACTGTTAAACTTTTGTTTCTTGATTCAGTGTACACATTTCTTTATTGAATAATCAGTGGTTTGAGTGATGTAATTGGTGGTATTACTGTCCTTTGGTTCTTTTTTCCTGAAACTTTTGAGTCTTGGGACTGAATTTCTAATTGTTGCCTGAATCAATGCCTTTGGAAGTTGAAATTGTCTAGGGTTTTACATTGTAAATGGCATGCAATGTTCAGTTTTTAGAATATCCAAATAAAAGAAAGACATTGCCTGTGATAGCTTGAAGGGAAAATTTTAGGGCCTGATATGGTAGTTGGTCTTTCTTGTAGCTAAAACCTTGGTGTGATAAACAGGAGTCTGACCTGGCCGTTGCCTTTTCTCATCTGCAGGTGTGTGTGGTTTCAGCGCAGCATGGCTGTGGTCATCCGTTTGCAAGGTCTCCCGATTGTGGCGGGGACCATGGACATTCGCCACTTCTTCTCTGGATTGACCATCCCTGATGGGGGCGTGCATATTGTAGGGGGTGAACTGGGTGAGGCTTTCATCGTTTTTGCCACTGATGAAGATGCAAGGCTTGGTATGATGCGCACAGGTGGTACAATTAAAGGGTCAAAAGTAACACTGTTGTTGAGTAGTAAAACGGAAATGCAGAATATGATTGAACTGAGCCGTAGACGTTTTGAAACTGCCAACTTAGATATGCCACCAGCAAATGCTAGTAGATCAGGACCGCCACCTAGCTCAGGAATGAGTGGCAGGGTAAATTTGCCTACAACAGTACCCAACTTTAATAATCCTTCACCCACTGTAGTTACTGCTGCCACTTCTGTTCACGAAAGCAGCAAAAACATACAGACATTTTCCACAGCCAGCATAGGAACAGCCCCTCCAAATATGGGAACTTCCTTCGGGAGCCCAACATTTAGCTCAACCATTCCAAGCACAGCCTCTCCGATGAACACAGTCCCGCCGCCACCAATTCCTCCAATCCCAACGATACCATCTTTGCCACCGATGCCATCCATTCCCCCAATACCAGTTCCTCCTCCAGTACCTACGTTGCCTCCTGTGCCTCCTGTACCCCCAATCCCTCCAGTCCCTTCTGTGCCACCCATGACCACACTGCCACCCATGTCAGGCATGCCACCCTTGAATCCGCCACCTGTGGCACCTCTGCCTGCTGGAATGAATGGCTCTGGAGCACCTATGAATCTGAACAGTAACCTGAACCCTATGTTTCTGGGTCCTTTGAATCCTGTTAATCCTATCCAGATGAACTCTCAAAACAGTGTGAAGCCACTTCCCATCAACCCTGATGATCTCTATGTCAGTGTGCATGGAATGCCCTTTTCTGCTATGGAAAATGATGTCAGAGATTTTTTCCATGGGCTCCGTGTTGATGCAGTACATTTGTTGAAAGATCATGTAGGTCGAAACAATGGGAATGGATTGGTTAAGTTTCTTTCTCCTCAAGACACATTTGAAGCTCTGAAAAGAAACAGAATGCTGATGATTCAACGATATGTGGAAGTTAGCCCTGCCACAGAAAGACAGTGGGTAGCTGCTGGAGGCCATATCACTTTTAAGCAAAGTATGGGACCTTCTGGACAAACCCATCCCCCTCCTCAGACACTTCCCAGGTCAAAATCGCCCAGTGGGCAGAAGAGATCAAGGTCAAGATCACCACAGGAGGCTGGTTTTTGTGTTTACTTGAAAGGGCTACCATTTGAAGCAGAAAACAAGCATGTAATTGATTTTTTTAAAAAGTTAGATATTGTGGAAGATAGTATTTATATAGCTTATGGACCCAATGGGAAAGCAACTGGTGAAGGCTTCGTAGAGTTCAGGAATGAGGCTGACTATAAGGCTGCTCTATGTCGCCATAAACAATACATGGGCAATCGTTTTATTCAAGTTCACCCAATTACTAAGAAAGGTATGCTAGAAAAGATAGATATGATTAGAAAAAGACTACAGAACTTCAGCTATGACCAGAGGGAAATGATGTTAAACCCGGAGGGGGATGTCAGCTCTGCCAAAGTCTGTGCCCACATAACAAATATTCCATTCAGCATTACCAAGGTGGATGTTCTTCAGTTCCTAGAGGGAATCCCAGTGGATGAAAATGCTGTACATGTTCTTGTTGATAACAATGGGCAAGGTCTAGGACAGGCATTGGTTCAATTTAAGAATGAAGATGATGCACGTAAGTCTGAACGCTTACACCGTAAAAAACTTAATGGGAGAGAAGCCTTTGTCCATGTAGTTACCCTAGAAGACATGAGAGAGATTGAAAAAAATCCCCCTGCCCAAGGAAAAAAGGGATTAAAGATACCTGGGCCAGGTAATCCTCCAGTTCCAGGAATGCCTGGTGCAGGAATGCCCAGTGCAGGAGTGCCCGGTGCAGGAGTGCCTGGTGCTGGAGTGCCCGGTGCAGGAGTGCCCGGTGCAGGAGTGCCCGGTGCTGGAGTGCCTGGTCCTGGAGTGCCCGGTGCTGGCGTGCCCGGTGCAGGAATGCCTGGAGCGGGAATGCCCAGCTCAGGAATGCCTGGTGCCAGAATACCTAGTGCAGGAATACCTGGTACGGGAATGCCAGGTGCAGGAATGCCAGGTGCAGGAATGCCTGGTGCAGGAATGCCTGGTGTAGGAATGCCTGGTGCAGGAGGTGAAGAGCATGCTTTCCTGACTGTAGGAGCAAAGGAAGCCAACAATGGGCCTCCATTTAACTTTCCTGGTAATTTCGGTGGTTCGAATGCCTTTGGGCCACCACTTCCTCCTCCAGGATTAGGAGGGGCTTTTGGTGATGGTAGGCCTGGTATGCCTTCAGTCGGAAACAGTGGTTTGCCTGGTCTAGGACTTGATGTTCCAGGTTTTGGAAGTGGACCAAATAATTTAAGTGGGCCATCAGGATTTGGAGGGGGCCCTCAGAATTTTGGAAATGGCCCTGGTAGTTTAGGTGGCCCCCCTAATTTTGGAAGTGGCCCTCCTGGTCTTGGAAATGCCCCTGGACATTTGAGTGGGCCGCCAGCCTTTGGGCCTGGGCCTGGGCCTGGGCCCGGCCCAATCCATATTGGAGGTCCCCCTGGCTTCGGATCTAGTTCTGGAAAACCAGGGCCAACAGTCATTAAAGTGCAGAACATGCCCTTCACTGTATCTATTGATGAGATTTTAGATTTCTTTTATGGCTATCAAGTAATCCCAGGCTCAGTGTGTTTAAAATACAATGAAAAAGGTATGCCCACAGGTGAAGCCATGGTGGCCTTTGAGTCTCGGGATGAAGCCACAGCTGCTGTCATTGATTTAAATGACAGGCCTATAGGGTCAAGGAAAGTAAAACTTATATTAGGATAGCTGTTCACATCAGTTCTTTGTAGGGTAGCTCTTCATAGTGCTGTGATTAATGCATCAAGATTGTTTTCTTAGTATTTCCAGGTTAGAACCTGTGGATTGTTTAAATTGCAAATAGATTGGTTTTTCCATAACATATAGCATTGGTTGACTGTTTTCCAGAAGATTCATTACCAGGATAAACTTGCTGTATGTTATAGTAGAGCTGTTTGGAGAGAACATAAAAATGATTTTGGAATACCATTTGTAAAACTCAAATGACCACATAAAGCTTATCAAGGAGTCTAGATTGGTTTTGTTTTATACCATGTTGGATAAAGAAAATAGAAATGTCAGTAGAGCTCATTAAAGGTGCTCTTGCCAGCCACTGAAAAAATTGATGTTGGCTGCTCTTGCAATTTGGTTTAAAGCTGGACAGATATGCTTTGTTATAGGGTCAAAGCTTTGTCTAAAGTCCTGGTTTTCTTTTAAAATTAAATAAAATCTCTGTATACAGATTCATTGTATGTACTTTTATTGCTTCTTGAGGATTCTTGCTGTATGGACAGTCCTGCTTCTGAAGTTGCTGCTTTCTTTGATTGCCTAATTAATCTGTAAATGAGCAGAACTGTGCTTTGTTTGTTGTTGTTTTTTAAAATATAAAACTCCATACTCGGTTTATGCTATAACCTTAACATTTGATTTCTAATGTCACACAACTGTGTGGAGTAAGACTTTTGCCACAGAAGTAAAATATGGAGTCCTCTACTTACCAGAACTTTTTTTGGTTTGATCACCAAGTTTTAGTTTAGTCCGTTTAAAAATTGTTCGTGGTTTTTGGATGGCATCGAAAACCAGAAGCCACTTTAAATCAGTGTTTAAGATGCTTGATTTGAAATCCTGTCCAGGATGAACTACTTGTTCTGGCAAATTCCTTCTGTCCCAATTTATGTGAAAATTTGGCCTATATGTAAACTAAGAGGAGTCCATTCATAAGAAAGCATAATATTGTCTAGGTTTTTAAAACTGAAGTTGAAACTCTTAGCCTTATTAGCAATAGTATTATAGAACAAAAGATCTGTAAACTAATCCGTAGGTTGATACGCATTTAATCCTGTTACTTGGAGGTGTTTTGGCATCGTTGTTGCATCAGGAGTCTATTTACAAAAATTCTTCGTGCAGACTACAAATGGAGCTGCCAAAGGGGAGAGAATCGAGGCTCCTTCTCCTTTCATACTCTTTTCTTTGACATTTGGGACACTAAGGGAGAACAGCATGGGTTTTGGTTGTAAAGTGTCCTTGTCATAAAAACATTAGCCTTAAAACCCACTGCCACAAAAGGTACCACTCATGGTTACTTTCCTTCTTAGTTAAAATGCCCTTAAGATGTGTCATATTATATTACCAACATTCAGAATGGGAGATTGATAAGATGTCATTAAAAACAAATTTTGTCTTTTGCATGGCCTTCTTGTCTTGGTTTGAAACATTCCCAACATTTTCTACAAATCAATGTACTTGCAAAGGAGGCAGCCTTTTAAGAGAAACATTTCATATTAAAATATAGTGCCTTTTTGGGATTGTAAATCAGTGGAATACTGAAATAACAGCGTCTGTAATTTAGAGTTTAATAAGAGTGGCAACAGTTTCATTTGTATGATAAGATTTGGAAAGCCTTTTCATTACTACATTTGTAGAGGATTGACGGTACAGGATTTGTGTGTAGGGAAAGAATTGTTTGGACTTTCAAAGAAGAGGTGGCTGCGTTGTGGATCTTTTGATAATTCACAAATACAAATTTGCTTTGACAGATCTCTAGATATATTGTCTCCTCAATTGAAAAAGCAATATGATGTTTGTATATGCTGTTCAATTTTTCTGTTAAGTAATCATTTCTCATTCCAAAGATAGAGTGCAAAAAACTTAAGCACTGCTTAGGAGTCTTTATTTCAACTACAGATTTTTTTCCTCATTGAAAAGCTATTTTCATTTTAGAAAAATGGGTTGTTTAAAGATGAATGTCTTTTTTCACAATTTATTTTGGTTCTGTGTTCGTACATTCTTATTAAATATTCCATAAACTTTATTGCAACTACTTTGTTATTTCTACATCTTAGATAAATGCTGAAAAGGAAACTTGACTTCATTGTTCATCAAAATTAAATAAAATAGTGGTTTATGTAGATATTGGAGAGAAATATGTTTCATATTTGGTTTAATCACAACAGTGCTTTTTTTTGTTGTGAAATGTAATTAAATGCTTTGCTCTCTGGAACTTGATTTTTGTGTATTTGAGACTTATTAACATAGTGCTAACTGCCAACTATATTGTTGATCTTGTTCTGCGTATTGGGAGTTTCCTTTTTTTTTTTTTTTTAATTGTTGAAAATGCGTTCTGTGAAACTTTTCATACCCCTCGTCAAATTTTCTCGCAAGAAGTAGGTGTGGGGTGGAAATGAATTTCCGTTATTTTCTCATTTGCTTTGTATAGTATGAAGGATTTGTAAAGCTTTGCTTAAAGTTGTGTGCATCTGTAACAGTACCATGATACTTTCCATTTTCTGTGTAAATTTTATTGTCTGTTTTTGGTGATTCTTATATTAATGGAAGAGCATCTTTTCTATTAGGTTTATTTTTCTCTATATCCTGAGTTTTTATGGTTGTTCATTTTTCTTTTGGTTTAAAGGGATGAGAGAAATCTACAAAATGTATTTTCTTAATAAGCAAATTTGTAAAAAAAAAAAAAAAAAAATTGAACATTAGGGAAACATTCTGTTCATGAGCAGAATTTAGAGGTGTGTTCTGTGTTTATACTATAGTTTGAATGTACGATCATGAGTGTTTTTGTTTTGTTTTTTAATGCACACAGTGTTGAGTGAAATGGAGTGGCTGGCTTTATACTCCAAGTTGTTAAGGCATCAACAATGAAAATTCCATTAGAAAACGTTATTCAGAATTTCACAGAACGTAATATTCAGTGTAGTTAAAGGTCAGTTTTAACTCAGTGGATGGAAATCTAAGGCTGAGTGTGGAAGTGGGCAAACATATATATGTTGGGTGGAAATAGCCACCTTGGGTAAAATTAAGGTTGCATGAAAAGCCTTACAAACTTCCTTTTACTGGATTCTATCATGTGTATAGATGTAGGTCAAGTGTGTAAAGAAGAAAAAAATCTACTCAATTTTAAGAACATTTGAAAAATAAAGAAAATGTAAAATTGCTGCTAGTCAAATCTTGGAAGGAATGTCTGGCAGCAGTCACTTTTAGAAATTATTGCCCATCCTTGCGAAATTGCCAGACTTACTATTTTATTGGCAATTCTACAGCAGTCCAGCTTTAGAAACCAAACGGTAAAATGGCTTATTGCCAATATAGCCACAATAATATTGCCAGCAAATACTGCCTTGGCATTCTTCTGCAGAGGATTTTGTTTATTAAGATGAAATCTTTAATATACTGTTCAATAAACTTGTCACAAAATAAAACAGGGTGATACTTTTAATGCTTTAAATGTACAAGAGTACTGAGCTCTGAGATACTGTTTCCTATGGGGAGGTGAAGTCAGTGTCTTAAGACATTATCAGGTGTTTTTTCTTTAAACTCCTGAAAATATTTTGTGCCTTTGGAGAGATTGATTTGGTGATTTTGGTGGTAACAATTGTCGCTTATCCTTGTCTGCTAATGCTGAAGTGTGGAAAGAAGAGGATGCCTGGAAAAGCAGGGAGGAAACTTGATCTTAGGTCAAATGGCATGGTGTCTACCTTTTTAGAATTTTATTTTATTATGTGTTTTTGTTAGCAAGCTACTTTGTTATGTGGATTCAGAAAGAACTAGAGACTAGATACTCCTTTGCACAGAAGGAATTTTAAAGGGAGGGTATGTGAATATACATTGATTACATTTGGAAACAGCAAAAAATCTTTAGATTGTCAATTGCACAAACCTCTAAAGCTTTGTTTTTCTCATTTTCTTTGTTTTTGCATGCTATGTGAGGTATTTGAGGTGAGAAAGAAAGGAGAGGAATCAAAAACATTGCTGCTTTTCTGATATTGATGTTCTGATGTTGTCCTTTCACATTTGTACAACTTCTAAAAAATTAGCAAATGAAAAGTTTTCCATAAACTTCCCCAAGTGTTCCCCACCTCCACTCTTTTTTTTAAAATCTGGATTGAAGTTGCAGAGAAACTAATGGACTGTTGTTTATAACCAAAGCTCTGAAAAATGCTTAATTTTTTATCTTTATCATGAAAGAGTTTAGCTTGTATTTGAGTATCCAGTTTATTTTAAGGAGTTTATGTCAGATATACTTGTTCCAGATAGTATCTGAGCTGTTAGAAAATTATTGAGGTTTCACTAAGCATTTGAAAAATCACTGAGTGGAATCAGCTACCTACAGAGATCCAGTATAGCCTTACCATGTTAAAGGAATGGACTGTGGTAATCTGTCTCCCTCTCTTCCTCAAGAGAGCTCCTCACTTTCATAAGTCATTGTCGTCTGCTTTCTAGTAATGTGTACCAAGAAATAGCTTATCAGTTTTATACATCATCACCGTTCTTTTACCACCCAAAAAAGTGGAGGTTTCTTTTAAAGGATATGCTAGAATCCAAATTTATGACTATCTTTTTTTTATTTAAAAATGGCTTGGTTTCATTTTCATCTTTTTAGAGTAAAATCTGATCACATTGACTTTGTAAAATGTTTTGGAAAGAATGTATTCTGGTGGTGGTACAATTCTGTGATGCTGTAGTGACTTTTCTGGGAAAACCTTTTCTTCTGGTCAACAGTATAAGCACATTCATCTCCTATTGCTATGCTCAGGTAAATGTTAATTTTTTACTCTGCTGTTCTGGGATTATTCTTGGCACTCTGGAGGTACTTGTGCCAAAGAATTTCACAAGCATCCTTTTCTAGGTAACATAATTAGCACTGAGCAACCAAGGTTGCACTGCTTTTCTGTGTATTTCTCTACTAAGGAGTCTAGAAGGGCAAAAAGCCACCTGATGGAGACATTCCAGCCCCAGAAAAAGGATAGTACTCTAAAAGTCTGGGGACAGGAAATTAGTGCTGAGGAAAATCCCATTAACCTAATTTCTCGAATTCTGTTGTGCCTTAGGGACCTCTACCCAGTCAAAATGTTGAATGTTAGAGCATAGAGATTTGGCCCATAGTAGCTGTAGAAAAGTAACTGGCACAGTAGAGCATGAATTGGCATCCCGGCTCTTTCCAGACATCTAGACTCCGAGCTTAGTAACTTAATAGTTTAAAGTCACTTTTTCTAACCAACTGATGATGGCTTGTCATTCCATGTTGAGAGAAGGAAAGGGTGATGTCTATCGGGAAAATGAAGCAATGACCAGCGAGAGGATATAATTCAGTATGAACAGAGTTAAAGATGGTGAATGAGCTTGGCTCATCCCAAGAGTGAGTTATGCTGTATTCAAACTGCCTGCTCCTTGGTGTTTCATTCCATCTTCATTTAGATGCTGCTCTCCTTGCTCATATAGTAGATTTTGAGTT